GAGGACATATTCTAACATTATCTGATCCTAATCTGTACAGCTCAATGGGAATAATGAATTTCTTCTCGTAAGAAAAAATATTACAGGGTTGAGATGAAACAAGATTTTTTTTATATATTTTTTTAGATAAAATAATCCCTGCTTTTTCTTGTCCTAAAAAGGGTTTAACAATTTGCCCTGATAGTTTAAAAGACTCAGTAATCTCTGTAGCTGTCTAACAACCAACTAACTTTCATTAATGCAGCTCCATGTGGAGCTTTGAACAGAGCTGTACTCCACACCCTTTTTCTAAAGCATGACTCATGCAGTTCAAGTTTAAAAATAAGACAGGGCTTAAACCTGTCACAGTGTTGGAGCTCAATATGTTAGAAACTCCTGTCAAAATGTGGGATGACAGATGCCTGAGACTGGTACCATGAAGATGGATTAATTCTTAACGATGATAGTAGCCATGGTAACTTAGTCGGGAAAAAAATCACATGCCTGTTCATTGAAGACCTGATTTAGTTCAAAGGGGAAAATTACTTAGAAAAAAATCAACATAACAAGAAAAGATTTTGACAGCCAAAAAGCAGTTTAAACACAATATTTTCTTGACAAATTTAATAGTTTTTGATTTATTTCTTTTTCATCCTTTTTGACATATCAACCTTTTACTATTCTGTATTTTTTTTCTTTCCATTATAGATCTCATACACCACTGGCATTCTCTTGTTTCTTGTATAATTGTTGTGGCTTCAGCTTCTAGCTTTGTGGTAACTCAGACATTATTGAATTAAAAAGTAAATTTAACTAGATGAAATTATGTTTCTGTGTTTTATTTTATTACTGTGTTTATATTTGCTATATCTGTCTATAAATCTAGAGGAAACTGATCCCTTACATAGATTACAGATATGTCTTGAAGACATAAAAACCTGGATTACTCTTAAGTAAGAGTCTTTGGACCAGAATCTCTGAAAAAGAAACTGAATAGTCAGTCACTTCATTTGGATGGGGTTAAATAAATTTCAGATTATAAA